TGATACGTGTCCCACTCTTCAATCTGCAGTGCTGGGTGGGGGAGTATAAACAGTACACGAACTGGCGTTAGCCAGCTTTTCTCGAACGACGGCTCTGGAGCCGCCACCATGCCCCCCTCCCGACAGGGGGGGGGACGCGGCTTTGCCAAGGGGCCAGCCGGACGACTTGGGAAACTCTAGCCCGGCCCTCGACTTACCGGAGGACGCGGGGCCTCCGGAGAAGGCTCCTTCTCTCTCCGCTGGTAGCCCCTCATCCTCTGCAAACGGGGCAAGGGCTCAAGCACACGCCGCATCTGCTGCTCACGGGACAGGGGCTCCAGTACACGCCGCATCTTCTGCTCACGGGACAGGGGTTCCAGGGCACGCCGTATCTTCTCCTCTCGCGGACTCTCAGATGCCGACCCCCTCAGTGGCTAGGGAGTCAGGCTTGGCAGGGGATGCTTCCTTCACCATGGCAGACCAGCCGCTGCGTAGCGGCAAGACAGATGCAGTAACGCCGCGGCAAGACGGACCCACCGGGCGCGCTTCGGGGGAGGGTTCCGAGTCCTCCTCGTCGCCTTCGCAGGCTTTCACGCCCCCAGTTCATCCGCGCGACATGTTTGAGGCCCTTACCGCGGCGATGAAGGCTTCTTCGGGGCCCCCGTACCTAGATGTCTGGCGCCAGACCATCCAGGAGTTATTTGCGCTGGAATTTGCCCGCCTTCCAGTCAGCTTCGACGCGTTGCCGGCCGAACGCAAACGGTATCCCAAGCTCACAAGTACCGAGCTGGTGAGTTTGCTGGATTTGTTTAAGCAATGTTTTGTTGTGACATCCGGCCGCTACGTCGACTGGACCCGTTTAGCCCACCAGATCAGTAAGGAGATCCTCGTCACGAAGTGGGCGTTCAAAGAAATCTTGCGCAAGCTGGCCAGCCGACAGAAATGGGCTGTGGCTCCAATCCCGCGGCTGTGGTCTCAAGTCGTGCAGACAGGCAGTGCTGCTGCACCTGCCAGTACGACAGGCCAGCAGCGTCCCGTGTTCGATGACTTTATGTTTGATCCGGCACATTTTTCGGAGGAAGAGACGACCACGCTCCGAGCCATTTGCGCAACGCGCCTTAACTTGACAGGTACTCACCGTCTGCGCGAGGGTACAGATGATGAATGGCGCATCATCATTGGGATTGCGGAAGGGCTTATTGCCTGTCGTCGGCTGCCTGATTTTCTCAATTCTGTCTTCGACAGCGACGAGCGGCTTCGGTTGTGTCGGACTGTTCAGGCGCAGGTCGAGGGACAGTTAGTCTTACAACTTAGACATGGTCGTGATATCCCAATTGGACGCCGGACGACCCACGCTATTACGGAGAAGATTTTGGAATCGGCGGAAATCTTGCGGGTCTGCTTGCCGGATCTTCACCGTTTCCTCGGGTTGGCCAAGACGATAAGCTACAATCGTTCTACCCGTTCAATCCACTTCTATTTCTTTACGCGAGCCATTGCTAAGGCGCACCAGGATGTCGTAGTGCCTTTTCAGGGGAGGGCGTACACGCTCGAGAATGTTCATCACCCGGTCAGGGGCTCGGTCTGGTTGAATCAGCGGGGACCAGACGGGCGGTCGAGCCACCCTCGGGCAGCGTACACCATTTTGCTGTATAATCTCACCCGGTTTGATGATATTGGGCGCATTGCTGCCTACCTCCGCTCCAAGATACCAACGGATTTTGAGCTGGAGGATATGGATACCTGCACCCCGAACTCACGTACGTCCACTGCCTGGAAAGTCACCTTTCATCTGGCGGGTTGCCCGACCTTTCTCCAAGGAGTAGTCAGACTGCTTTGGTTTGGGACCCCCATTATCGTCCGGCATCCGGACGTGGGCCGTCGCCTCCAATGTTTGCAATGTGGTACGCTAGGCCACCCGGCGTCGAGGTGTCAGTTTACTGATGCGCAGTTGCGGGGGCCGGGCGGGCTGGAGGTCCACGAAGCCGAGCTTTTAGCTGTTGAAGATCTGGCCAAACCGTTTAGTAGCCCTGATGAAATGCGGCAAATGGCGCAGCGACGACTGGTTGTGCAGCAATCAGCCGATGCAGCGGCTCAAGCTGCGGTGACTCCGGCGGTACCGGTCGCCACTTCCAGTCCACCGCCGGCCGCCGAGCCCCAGCCAACAGGTATACCTATCCAATCGGTGTATACTACTCATGTCGCGCACGCGGGCCCGCCTCCTCCGGCCCCAAAACCCCGGCCCGAACAGCCATGGATGAGACGCCCCCTTCGAGGGGGTCGTCGGCCTTGGCCCCCAGTTCAGCCTTCCCCGCCTCAGCTGAACGTCAGCAGCGGGAGTTATCACGTTCTCCAGGAGGATGATAGGGCAGAGGAGGGTCCGTCTTCCCCATTTGAAGGCAGTGTCGCCTCTGCACCTCCGCAGCCGGGGACTGGAGGCTCCTCGACTCCTGCTTTTTCGGCACGGCTGTCCCACTCTCGGCTTCTGCCGGAGGATCAGGCCCGGAAACAAGCAGCCGGTATTCGGGGCCCGGCGGTAGTTATCGCGGGTCCGGCTCTCCTGACCCAGCAGCGACGGGAACGTCTGACTTGCGAAAAGCTTTTAAAGCTGCTGCCGGATCGGCAATGTCACTCGATACCCATGGATCCTAAGCCGTTAGCGGAACCCATCCACATGGGCGAGCTTGTGAGTATTCTGGGACTTCGGGAAATAAACACTCCAGCGAACGGCAATTGTTTGGCGATAGCTCTTGCTCAAGCGGTGGCTGAGTCTGCCTTGACCGCCCCTACCAAGGACCAGGAGCTTCTCACGGCTTGCATTAAACGAGGTATCACGTGTACAGGACTCTTGAACTTGGAAGATCAGGTCCCTCACGACTTGCGGGTGCAGGCACTTAAGAACGTGGGCCGTGGGTGGGCGTCGATGACGCGCACAGAGTCGGCTTCTCAATTCCGCTGGTTTTTGACGGACTTCGCGGCCACCCCATCGGGGCGAACTTCGCATGTGCCTACGGACTGTTGGGGGGGCAGTGACACACTCGGCATGGCAGCCACGTTTTTACAGAGAGACATCTTTGTCGTTCAACGCGAAGAAGCCACCCCTCAGTGGCGTTGCCGCAAGTATCACCCCGTTTCGATGACTGTACGGGGACGGGCGGTGGCTTCTGTAAAAGAGTACCCCCTTTCTATTATGGCGTGTATCGACGAGCTGCAGGCTACCAAAGTCGGGGCGAGTCAGGCTCTACCGTTAGTGTTGCGGTTTGGCGGCAGCCACTACTCGGCATTTCTCCATTCAGCGGGAGTGGCCGATCCGTTAAACCTTACCGATACCCAGGACGGGCCGAGTGCGTCGACTCAGGATCCGGTCCACTCCTTCGGGGACACTAGAGCCACAGCGTTGGTACCATTGGAGGAGAAAAGCGCTTCAGCACTGCCCTCAGACGACAAACTCCTTCCTGACAGCGGTGACCGGACGTCGATCGTCCTTTACGACGCTGGAGACGCGGTCGCTCGAACCTCGGCACAACCCTCTGGTCAATTGGCTTTAACTTCTACTTCGAGCAGCTGTCGCGAACGCGGGATGGCCTCTGCGGCGCGGAAACGGGGCCACGGCGGCTCTCCCCCGCTCCTGGCGGCGTCTGCGGATCCAGGTGCTGTCGTTCCGATCGGCTCTCGCCACAAGAAAGGTCGGGTTCGTTCAGCCCTTCGGAAATCTTCACTAGACGCGCCGGACGACAGAATCGATCGGGACGAATGGCCAGAGCTCTGGAGTTATCTGGGAGCCGAATGGCCGCCGTCAGCAGCAACTCCGTATCCTCTAGTATATGGAGACTCCAACGGGTGGGAGGCTACGGCTCGTTTGGAGCCGGAATTGTTACTACATCACTTGCGCCGCTTCGTCTTTCCAGACGAAGTACTTGCTAGCTTGTCCGACACAGTTTTTGTACAGTGGACGGCGCTGTGGCGCCAGGAGTGCTTATTATCCGGGCTCCTAGAATTCCGACAGCGAGTGACAGAGCTACCCACGGGTGTTTGGCTCGACCAATGGATTGCTCGATCGCAGCAGCGCCTTTCGCCGTCTCTGCTGGCCCCTCTGATTGACAATTCCGACGATTGGAGAAAGTTGCGAGGGATTAACTATGCGGGGGACGACATTTTACGATTGTGTGACCCGCACAGACGCGTCCGAATGAGTCACCACCTCATGTGTGCCATCGTGTTCGACAACGAGATTTTTGCTCTGACGGGGACTGGCGGAAAGCCAGTACGCCCTCCCGAGCAACTCCGTTGCCACTTTCGCTTACTTCGGACCAATAGTACCTACAAGGATACGTACTACCCAGACGGGGATGCTCCGATCGACTGGACTGCGCTCGTTCGCTATTTTACTACTGCTTTGGCCCCGGCAGAGCAGAGGTTCCTCCTCGAGTACTAAGGGCAGCTTACAGCAGAATTTCGTCTTCAGCCCCGAAGTTCCTTTCTTTGAGGAAGCTGACGCCTACAGCCGGCATCGCAAACTTCACGACTGGTCTCCGTCCTGGACTTCAGCAGTTGATCCACTGGATTCTCGGGGTGGGGACAGGCTCTTTATTTCTCAAAACGTGAGGGGCTTCAAGGCTAGCGCTCGGGAAGGGTGGTTGTCGGCGTGGCGTAGTGCGCCTCAGATCCGTCGCCCGCAGGCTTGGTGTATTCAGGAGACGCATGTACATACTGACGAAGAGGCGGGTAGGCTGAGTTCCAGGTGGGCTCAGTTATGGGGTCAACACTTGGATCCTGACGCTCCTCCTCTATCGTTCTGGAGTATTGGCTCTTCTAGCCGTGCTGGTGTTGCCATTCTTCTTACCCCTCATTCTGCTCGTACAGCTTCGGCCTGGGAACCGGAACGCTGGTCACCCCGGGCGATCGCAATTTCCATTGGGGAGGATGTTCTGATCAATGTGTACGCACCTACACTGCGAGGTGAACGGGAAGACTTCTTTACTTCCCTTCTCAGCTGGAATTTGATGGCCTCCAACACTATTATGGCGGGCGACTTTAACTGCGTCCAGTGCCCTCTCCTCGATCGGTACGGCAGTTACCGATCGCACCGATCGGAAAGCCCTGCCCTGGACGCGGCAGTTGCGACACTGGGCTTGGCGGATGCGAGAGATCTTCGGGATCATGCGGATGACGAGGGCACTGGCGATCCTACTGATCATTTCACTTACTGGAATGGGGACCGTGCCAGTCGCATCGATCGTTTCTATGTGCCTGAGGGGTGGGTAGGTCGCGTGCTGTGGATTGAAGCGCGGGTGCCATCCAATCAGTCGGACCATCAGGAGGTTGTGCTACACCTACGTGACCTGAACAAACCTCGTTCGTCATGCCGGCATGGGCGTGTAACATATCCGATTCATTCATCGAACCCTGGCAGGATCGTTGACGAACTCGTCGCGGAAATGGACGGAAGGGCTATAGGTCAGAGCGTTTCTACCCTCACTTGGGACGCGGATGTCACAGAGTGTCAACAGTGCGTTCGACGCATCCGGAAGCGGGTCAAACAGCGCAGAGCGCGATTTCGTCGGAAGATTCAGGGCAGAGCTCGGCGACCTCTCCTGACCCGGCCGCAATTTATCTCCTGCAATATGGAGGAATTACGGCAGGAACATCTGGTGCGACTGGGCCAGAAGCTCGCCAGGACGGCTGACCAGTTGCGCTATTTTTACAAGCGGGTTGCCGACTGGGAACGCAATCAAACAGTCACAACAATTTCGCGCATCCACGGCCCGCATTTTACCCGGGATATGACTAATGCGGATAAATTTGCCTCCGAATGGTCTACAGTCCTTGGCAAAGTTCATTGCCAGGAGGAGAGAGTGGACTTGCCGTCAGCCATTCGCCGTTTTGTCAATCTACCCACAGACCGAGTCTTGTCTTCTGCCGACAACCGGGCTCTCTTGGCTGATTTTTCGGAAGCGGAAGTCCTTGCAGCCGTTTCTGGGCTCAGTCGACATAAGTCGGCGGGACTGGACGGGCTCAACAACGATTTTTACAAGGATACGTCTGCACTTCTTGTCCCCGCCCTGGTCCAGCTCAGCAATCAAATTTTGGCTGGAGCTGATCCCCCGCCTTCATTTCTCGAAGCTTTGATCATACCCTTGCGAAAAAGGGAGACTCGGCGGATGCGATGGATTACAGACCGATTTCTCTACTCCAAACCAGCTACAAGATCTTTGCGAAAGTGCTGGCAACACGACTGCAACGCGTATTACCAAAAGTCATTGGTGACTCGCAGCAAGGCTTCGTACACGGACGCCAGATGTCTAAACTAGTGTTGATGATGCTCGCTCAACTGGCGACAGCAACATCGGATACAACTACATCCGCCGACGACAGCCGAGTGATCCTCCTACTGGATTTCCGCAAGGCTTATGACACGGTCGATCGCGAATTCCTGTATGAGGCTCTTCGCCAATTTGGTTTCGCGGAAAGGTATGTTCAGCTTATAACTCGTCTACATACTGGTACTTCGGCCGCGTTCCTTGTAAATGGGGAACAGTCTCGTCCCATCTCCGTCGTTTCCGGTATCCGGCAAGGCTGTCCACTCGCCCCTTTGCTTTTTCTCGTCGTGGTGGAGATATTGGGCGTTGCGGTACAGCAATCACCAGATTTGTCTGGGCTTCCTGTCCCTGGACGACATCCGGCAACGCACGTTTTCTCGGCATTTGTGGATGACTCGACGATCTTTCTCGAGAAGGCCAGTCAGCTAGAGCCAGCGATAGCTCTTCTCTCTCAATTTGGGACCCTATCAGGGCTAGTTGCCCAACCCTCCAAGAGTCAGATCATTTGTCTTAATCGGGCTGTGCACGTAGCCGATATGCGGGGCATTCCGGTCCTTCAACATGCGGACACGGTGCGATACCTGGGCTATCAAGTAGGACTGAGACCCTTACACAATTGCAACTGGGCGCTTCGTATCCGGAAGCTTCAACGGAGGCTAATGACAGCTTCCAGGGTGGCGACCAGTGTGGCGAATCGGGTGTTGATCCTCAACTCCATCATTCTCCCGTCTGTTCTGTTCACGGCGGCGGTGTTCGATATGCCTGAGTGGGCACGACTTGCTGTCCACAACCTGTACAAACAATTTTTATGGGCTCATGCGACTTCAACGGAAGCCAGCCGACACAAGATTAACCCGGGACTACTTTTCACCCCCAAAAAGGCAGGGGGATTGGGTTGGCCTCTTTGGAGGTGGCTATTAAAACGCAGCGTACCAAGCACGCTTTACAGTGGCTCACACAAGCTCAGGACAAGTATTTTGGAGCCTGGAGTGCGTGGGCTTATCAAGGCCGGCCGACAAATTCGAGTCTGGTTCTCCATTGCAGGACGCAGGCAGCTGGGGCTGCATCGTGTGTCGGGGCACCGTCCCCAAATTCATGGGTACCGGACGTTGACAAGCTTCTACACCCTACGGTAGAGCAAGCCACCATTCTCAGCGAGCGGGTACGAACGTACTACCACCCCATCCTCCACGGCGCCAGTAGCTGGTGGGAGGAGGAGGAATGGGTGCTGTCGTATCATCACCCTTTCCCGGCTGGGTTACCTGCGCTCGATCCTCAACAGTGTGCGATTCATCGCTTTTGGGGGACACTAGGCTGGAGTAATAACCCGTGGATCCAGGACGGCAATGGCCTCTCGTTAAAATCCGCTACCTATGACAGGATCGCCATCTGCCCCATCTCGGACCTGCACATTCGGCGAACAGGGCCAACTGAATTTATTTTTCGCATTAAGCCGGTTGGACCCCGATCTTTTCACCACTCGCAGCCTAAACTCCGTCGGTGGGCGACGGCAATCTTGCTGGCATCCCCTACGTTCCCCATTGGGGGCGAATTAGCGCTCGAACCTGAGCTGGTTCTTCGCCATGCACCACCTTTTCGACATGAATGGACCTGGGCCTCGGTCCAACAAGGTCGAGTGGTCGGGAGGCGAGAGGGGTACTTGGAAGTCGCTGACCAGCCTGTTGAACTGCAGCAGAGTGCGGATGGAATTCGCTGGTTTTTCACCACTCACCTACCAGAGTTATCTACTAATTCGGACGAGGACAGATCCGTTTGGGCCCTACGCTTGCGTCGTCACGGCGTCGTGTTTTACTCCCATCCCGGGCATCATGGCTTTCCTTGGGCCGTCGCCGAGTCGGTCGCGAACTTAGCTATACGAAAAGCTATTTCACGCCTGGCGTTCACGTTTCACAAAAGACTTCTTGCAGTCGCATTGCGACCGCTGGTGCGGCGTCTGGAGGCCGTCTGTGACTTCGATCAGTGGCAGCGGGCTGCCGCAAACCAAGACCCGGCACACGTTTGGAAGCATGACAATGGCCTTTCCGACCATCAGGTCTGGACGTGTTACCGTATAGCCACCAAGCAACTCAACTTGTACCATGCCGGCCGTCCGGCGGACAATAGTTGCCGGGCGTTATTGGCGTGTCACGGTTGCAAAGAAACGCCGGCTCACATCTTTTGGGACTGCCCCAAGGCGCGCGCGTGCTGGGGTCAACTCATTACCCATTGGACAGGTGAACGGGCTGGGAGGCCGTGGGAAGAGCGTTGGTTCGTCGGGAGTGTGAATCGTCACGCGCCGGAGATACCGTCCAAGCAGCGTCTTCGGATTTACCATATGCTCCCGGAGGACTTAGAGGCTGGTGTCGCGGTTTGGAAGCGTCTCTGGTTTATTATGAGCAGCATTTGTCTGACTCACTTATGGAATGAGCGGAACGACGCGGTTTTTCGAGGAGTGCAGTCGACGCCTCTCCACAGCGCCGCGCGTTTTTGGGCGCTGGGAATTCGACATCTTACCGCGTTAGCAAAACGCGAACATCGCGGTCCCGCCACAGCTGTCACCGGGGCTATCATGCATACCTGTATCGACCTCTTTATTCTCGAACCTCGGGATAAGCCGATACCTTTAGGTGACAGCCACGACAAGCTACCAGTTCCGGAGCTATTGTCCTGGCTTAGAAGTTTTCAGACATCTTTAGCATAATCATATGTTAATAGACGGACATGACAACAACATTGATACGTGTCGCAGGACGACCCATCCAATCTGGCCCGCAGCACGTCGAGTCGACAAACAGTCATCTGTTTGGGATCTCACGACGGACGACATGTCCATACAACTGCAACTCACAGCAAGAAGCGAGTTGATTTGTTCTTAGTGTCTACATCGCAAAACAACGATATGCGCTATTTCACATTCGTCCGTGTCGCAAGATGAGCCCGTCAACTCTGACCCGCAGCATATCAAGACGACACACGGTCGTCTGATCGGGATCCTGACAACAGACGAGACGTCCATTCGGCTGCAAGCGAAATCTTTTATCCTCTACAGCTGGTTTGGCATAAGTGCACGATAATGATCACGCTTTTTGTTGGGTAAAAGGCGCACGGTATCGTATCGACTGAAGCCCTCAAAACAAACAATCAATTTGACCATTATCTTCAATGAGCTCTGGATCCTGCTGATTGCACCGAATTCGTTCGCTCGTTGGATACATGCGTGCGCTTTTGTACCAGGAGTAGACAGCTGGATCCCCAGTCTCCGGATACATGCGTGCGCTTTTGTACTAGGAGTAGACAGCTGGATCCTCAGTCTCTCTCCTACATGCGTGCGCGGATCATCCGAGCAGAACTATTGATGGGCTGCCCGTAATCACGTTTTGGAGCGAATGGGCGAATGCTGCAGCTGCTTGATCGTGTTCTTCAGATATTCGTTCTCAGACTAGCCTCCCTGGCGCTGAACGTGTCGAGTCTCGGTGTAAAGTTGCATTCGAAGCTTGTGCTTTCTGACGACGGGTACAAGCCATGCTCGACATTCGAGACTTTTCCTGAAGACATTGTCTCATGGCATGGAAAAACGAGCTGCGTGACCTCACAATTGCTTTTGCCTCCTGCGTCCTACCGCCGAGCCACAACCCACGCCACTCCATTCCCTCCACCCTCAGGATGTCGCCAGCTCTTCCGCGTTTGTCGGTGGTCTGCTCTGCGCTGTTGCTTTCGCTCTCGCACGGCACGCAACTTTTCGGAAACGACGCGTCAGTTGTCCAAACCGAGGCGACAAAGTCATGGCCAGGTCTGATCGTCAACGTCACGCATCAGACGGCGCCTTTTCCGTTCAACTCGTTTGTCTTGTACGCCAACCCAGTCGTGACGGAGGACGGGGCCAAGGTGCTGTACGACGTCAACGCAGAATTCAAGGTCGTCAATTCTGCGTACCAGAAGTGGATGTACTACGTGCAGACTGATGGGTACGCGATGTCCGGTGACAGCTACGACCAGACCACGTGTATGGAATGGGAAGCCTACCCGTACGCACTTCCGGCGGTGAACGCCATTGCCACTGCACTCATGGGACTTTCGCCTGGTGCTGAACCAGACGGTCACGACTGCCCGGGACACAAGTACTTTTTCCAACTTTTCAAAACCAGCCACACCGTGTGTGAAACGAATCCTGGCAAGATGATCACGATTACTGGAAACAACCTGGTCCTCACCGTGTCGTACGCGGACAAGATGAACTTGAAAAGGAACGGTGGTAGCAGCGCTGGGTGTAAGCCCGTGGCATTCCCAGCTTCTGTGGCGCCGATCGGCAAGTCGTTGCTGACTGGACAAAGCCTTCCGCGTACATCGTAGTGCGCTGGAAGGAGCGGGAAGCTCACTTGCTTGCCAGTGGCTGTAAGCATGAGTACATCTTCTGTGGCTGCCTCTCACTTCCGGAGTAACTCGGCAGAAGCAATAAAAAGGGTTTTGCAGCCAAAATACTCGTCATCGAGGTATGTGAAACGTGGTGTGTTTGTTTTGTCTTGTCTGTAGTGAAAGGGACCCTACACCACCTCACTTGACTTGAGAGCGAGATGCGACAAGTGAGCCTAGGTTATCGTTCCTATCATGCACAGTCGGTAAAAAGTCACAAGTTGGGACAACACAGTAATTTCTACAGTGTCGTTTTCTCTATCGATTACGATCGGCCGGGACAACAGCCCAAAATTGGCCAAGCTACAACATGTACATAGGAGTGGTAAGTAATAAATTGACAAAGTAAGCAGAGACAGCGAATTCAGTACTTGTCTGAACGTTCGTAGTTGACCGGATTGCGCTACGGATGTACGAAACACTCACCGAGAATTCCGTGACTTGACGCGCGTGTTGTGGTTCCATCGAGCTGGGTCGGAGAGGATAGTACTTTGATTGGCTCGTATCGACTTGAATTGCAGAGCTGCTCCACGGTTGCTTGACGCAGCTTTGACACGCTCTACGTCACACAAAAGGATCAAACAGATACCACACAGAGCTTCTGTGAGCGAGCACCGAAGCGGTGCAAATAGCAGCAAGCACGACCAGGAAGAACGTAGAAGAGGGAAAGCAAGAGTAGCGACCGACCAGGACAGCTGAGTGGAATGGAGATTTCATAGAGTTTGTGGAGAGAGCCACTGCCCCCGGTGGTGCGATCAGCGAGTTGTACGGCGTTCAACTTCTGTAACATAAGGACTTGAGTGCACAAGCTGATTGCGAGCCCGAAGGGTGAAGCTGGTAGTGACTGTGCGCAAGGTTGAATGCCGAGCTTTTAATTCGCACTTATCTGTCTTTGTGTGTCTGTAAATAACATGACTAGGTGTAGCTTACCCGTACGAAGTGCGATAGCCTGACCCCACGAGGGCTCCTTCCCGCGCAGGATGGGACACAAAATACTGCGGCACGAGATCATTGAACATTTAACACGACACATATTTCGTAACGACCAGATCTGTAGACACATTATCGCATCCATGTGCGTCGATGGCACTTAAGAATGAGGAATGTGATCAACCAGTGAAATTCTTCTCTTTGTGATCGATGCTTACCTGCTACAAGAAGGGTAGAAGCTCAAAGCCTTATCCACTTCATCCCAATCGGTGCTGATTGCAGACTCATGCAAGAAGATCTGTTTTTAAACGTGGTCGTAACAGCATGACTAAGGTTTAACCGATGCATCAACTACATTGATGCAGTAACGATTCAGTGAGCAGTGACGTCTTGCAGCATGATTCTGGACAAAACATGAAACTAATGCGATTGCTCATAGGCGACTTTGACGTTTGGTGGAACAGTCCAACCTCCTGGCAAGGCTTTTGAGCAATCTAGTTTCTACTAAAAGAAGCTCACCTTTACCGTTGATCGAAGTCGCGAGACCTCAGTGGTATAAGGATGCCCATCGGATCGTCGCTAGGAGAAACCGTATCCACTTTACATGCATCTGTAAAGTAGCGGGGCACCCTTTGCTTGGGGTGCCGCGAAACTTTACGTACAGCCATTACGTGCAGAAGAAGTTAAGCTACTCGAACTGCTAGTTTGAGTTAAGGTGGAAAGTTTTTGATATAGTTAAACCATCAATATAACTTGGTTCCTTTGCTAACTAAATTAAGCTACATCGTCGTATGACGACAACCTGCTCACCACCCGTTGCGCGCGTCTAGCAGCGATTGGTGGTATTCTTGGTTCAGATGTCGATATCAACCGATCTTTGAGCAGCACGTGAATATTATCCTAAGGGGTAATATTCTTCAGTATTAACTATCTCGGGTAATATTGGCAGAAGATTGTCACACTTGACAATCTCCCTATTGACACAAAACGGTGTCAATATCATGTAACGGGCTACCCCGTTACATACAATGCCTGGATGCATGCATCGGCAGAAAGGTAAAAAACACACACAATATAGACGAATTCGACGATGAAAACAAGTAAAATAGATGACGCTTTCATTTTACGCTCTCTTGATTCCCATTGAATTTAATGATCGTAGGAAATGAATAGAATCTCGACTTTACATGCTAAGATAATCATCGAATGCGGGATGTGCAGGACACGCGGGATGGAACCGGCTCATCCTGCGTCCCGTCCCGCGCAGGACAGGATGCGGGATCTTGCGGGATGGGACGTGGCAAGACGGAGCCCTAGTCCCCACCGCAAAGGTATGCTTTCGGTACACATGCACTCACTCTTTGACTAGGTCACTATTGAGACACACGCTTGTGAGTGGTTTCAAATCGACTAAAGGTGCATAGGACCACAAAAGCAAATGCTGCACGATCATAAGGAAAGACCGATCGCGTTGCACTGGCATACCGTACTGGGTTGCTATCGACATTCACAGCATCATCATACTCCTTCTTCGGCGACTGCTGCTGTACAGTGTTTTGCAACTTGAGTCGGTTCTCCGAGCTGAATTACTTATATCAAAGGCGCGCTCCAGGCTTGCTCCCCTACCTTACAATTTGCGCTGATTCACATTGATACGTGTCGCAGGACGACCCATCCAATCTGGCCCGCAGCACGTCGAGTCGACAAACAGTCATCTGTTTGGGATCTCACGACGGACGACATGTCCATACAGCTGCAACT